AGTGACAGTGCAACAAACACAACTACGACAGTGCCAACAAACACAACTACGACAGTGCCAACAAACACAACTACGACAGTGCCAACAAACACAACTACGACAGTGCCAACAAACACAACTACGACAGTGCCAACAAACACAACTACGACAGTGCCAACAAACACGACTGTGCCAACAAACACATACTGCAACAAACACGACAACTACGACACAACACACTACGACAGTGCTACGACAACAAACACAACTGACAGTGCCAACAAACACGACAACTACGACAGTGCCAACAAACACACTACGACAGTGCCAAACACGACAACTACAGGACCAACAACACGACAGGACCAACAACCACGACAGGGCCAACAACCACGACAGGACAACTACGACAGGCAACAACCAACCCACAACTGGGCCAACAACAACAACAACTGGGCCAACAACAACAGGGCAACAACCACAAACTGGGCCAACAACAACAGGGCCAACAACCACAACTGGGCCAACACAGGACCAACAACCACAAACAACAGGACCAACAACCACAACAGGCCAACAACCACTAACAGGGCCAACAACCACAACTGGGCCAACAACAGGACCAACAACCACAACTGGGCCAACAACAAACAGCCAACAACCACAACAGGACCAACAACCACTACAGGGCCAACAACCACAACTGGGCCAACAACCACAACTGGGCCAACAACCACAACTGGGCCAACAACTACAACTGGGCCAACAACCACAACAGGGCCAACAACCACAACACCGGAGCCAACAACCACAACACCGGAGCCAACAACCACAACACCGGAGCCAACAACCACAACACCAGAGCCAACAACCACAACACCGGAGCCAACAACCACAACACCGGAGCCAACAACCACAACACCGGAGCCAACAACCGGAGCCAACAACCACAACACCGGAGCCAACACCACAACAAGCCAACAACTCCAACAACAAGCAACACCACAGAGCCAACAACCACAACACCGGAGCCAACAACCACACAACAACCACAACACCGGAGCCAACAACCACAACACCGGAGCCAACAACCACAACACCGGAGCCAACAACCACAACACCGGAGCCAACAAACAACAACACCGGAGCCAACAACCACAACACCGGAGCCAAACAACCACAACACCGGAGCCAACAACCACAACACGGAGCCAACAACACAACACCGGAGCCAACAACCACAACACCGAGCCAACGGAGCCAACAACCACAACACCGGAGCCAACAACCACAACACCGGAGGCCAACAACCACGGAGCCAACAACCACAACAAGCCAACCACAACACAAACAACCACAACACCGGAGCCAACAACCCCAACAGCGGAGCCAGGCACAACTGGTTAAAAACTATTTCCTGTGTAACCTGAGACAGGCACATGCAGGTGGTCTGTCTCCACTTCCATTTCCTGTTTCCGTTCCCGCTGCAAGGGGTCGTTGTGTCCAAACGCGTTTTGTATCCACGACCACCATTTGAGTTCAAGCAAAGGCTTAAACTTACAATTGTTTGAATGTTTGTTTTTAGGTTAATGAAGAGACAGCTTTGAGTCCAATGGGGGGGAAGGGGGCCATGTGTCGAATTCCCTTTCCTTCCTCTGCACGGATTTGTTTGAAATAAATGTCACCAGCAGACAAGTGGGCCTTTTAGTCTCCATCCTTCAGTCTTCACGAAATCCTTTATAGCTTAAAACAGCCATCAACCATAGCAGAGGCAACCGCAATTGAGACACCAACCACGGCGGGGCCAATAACCATAAGGCCAACAACTACGACAGGGCCATTACAAGAACACAAATTCACAATTGACAAAATAAACAATTACTGACCAACTGTAGGCCTAATTTTAAATCGATGTTGATGTTATACCTTTTATGGTTCTGAATTCAAGATCAGTGTGCTTTACAAATACTAAAAACAAAGTTTCATAGATTTCTTTTTTATAAATACTTGGTTAAATCTGTAATTATTCATTCATTAATGGTCGTATGTCGATTCGTACTATAGATCACTTTTGATAATTCCATTATTTACGTTGTACAACCATGATATTTATGAAGCAAGATTTTTACGTTGACGACAGCTACAGGAGCCATCCAACTTATTGATAAAAGTAAAGTAATGTGCATGAAAGCTGGATTTAAACTACACACGTTTTCATCCAGCAGTGGTGAAGTCCTTGCATCAATCAGTCCAAATGATATGGCAAGCTACATCAAAACATTAAAATCTTAATAAGGATTCACTGCCTATTGAAAGAACTCTAGGAAAAGAATGGTGCACAGTCTGACAATTTCAAGTTAAGGATTAATTTAAGCAGCAAACCTATAGCCAGAAGAGGTATATTACCTATTGTGAGTTCCAGTTATGATCCAATAGGTCTGGTATCTCCATTTATTCGAAAAGGTAAAAGAATACTTCAAGATTTATGTACAGATGGAGTAGACTACCAGAAAGTAAAAAGGTAAGATGGGAGCTGTGGAGAATAGAATTACTATTATTGGGAAATATAAATATAAATTTATTGATGTTATAAACCTGAAGGATTTGGCAAGTTGAATTTTATTGTTTTACATAAGGATGATAAATGACAAAGGGCAGATTCATTGTGTGTTTTTGATGGCAAAATTTAGAGTAACATTCTTGAAGGCAATAACTATTCTAAGACTAGAGCTTGCAGTAGCTGTTATATTAGTTAAGATTCACACAATACTCAGAAAGCAGCTAGATCATGAAAATGTGAAAGAAGTATTTTGCACTGACAGCAATGACAGTGCTTGGACATATCTTCAATGAAACTACACGATTTCATGTTTTTTTGTAGCTAATAGACCTCAACAAGTCAGAGATCAGACATCACCTTCACAGTGACAAAGACAACAATCCAGCTGATTATGCAGCACGGGGTACGTCTGTAAAGTTTATGATTGAGAATTCCAGGTGGTGGGGAGGTCCACAGTATCTATGGCTGAATCTAACACAAGATGTAAATGCAGACTACAGTGTAGATGAAGGTATGACCCAGAAGTGAAGAAGGTAGTCTCATGTCTTACAGAGACTCAGAAAGTTTATTATTATATACATTTAAACATTTTTCAGACATGTACAAGGCTAAAAGAACTGTAGTAGTATGCCTAGCACTTCGGAAGAGATTCAAGGGAAATAGACAATGATTCTAAAGACAAAGGCAGAAAGAGAAAATCTATACATACTCTAGTGAATGCTGCAGAAAGGAAAGAAGCTGAACTTGAATTAATAAGACAGCTCCAAAGTTGTTCGCTGAGGAAAGAAAAGCATTAATGAAGAAACAAAATATAAATAGTAATCTGCAAATAGTAAAAGAAAACCTGTGTTAAAGAAAGGAAGCCAGTTATACCAGATTAATCCATTTATAAATGATTATGAGAGGTGGGAGGGTTAGAAGAGGAAATATAAAGGATATGAAACACCCAGTCATATTACCAAAGAAATCTTTTATGGTGTTCTAAGTTATCTACGTAAAATATTCACAAACCAAGTCATAATGAAAAAAAAGTGTTTCATACAAGCACTAGATAAAAGGTTTTTCTGTTCGAAAATGAAATCAGATTGTGTTATATTGGGAGGATTTTAGAGAAATTTACGAAAATGGTCAATGTAGGCCTACAAACACCCCAAGTCAGTGTGACCCAACTATGACAAATGTCGCTTAGTAGAATATTATTGCTTGCTAGGAATATCCGCAATACTTCAGAATTTAGGTAAATGATAGAATATTATGTTATAGGAAGATATTTCTTATATCTAACTTGATACCAAAAACAGTTATGAAAATATACGAAAAATAAAAATTGCCAACATAAAAAAAGTTTTCTTCTGAACGTCGGTTACATCAAATAGAAATCGAAAAAAATGAACGAGGAACAATTTAGGATAAATCTATTCAGTAATCACGTGAGAATGCATTTGTATTTTTTTTTTCTGGATTTGATATTATTTTTGCGCTTATGTCAATTTTCAAAATGGGAACTTTCGCTTTTTTTTTATTATAACTCAAAAAACTTTTCGAGCCATTTCGAAAAAAAAACCCTCAAGGATGAGGCTAAGGTCTAATAAAAGGGTGAGAGTTTCATCAAAATCGGCAAGAAAAACTGATAAATCGAAAAAAATACCAGACTCGCTTAAAGCACCTTTCTTCGTCTAGGAGTAACACAGCACATTGTACTTTTCGTTTGAGCAACATGGACCACAAGGACATATTCCCTGTTTTCGCCGTATTTTCGTATTTTATGGCGTATATATATATATATATATATATATATATATATATATATATATATATATATATATATATATATATTTCACTGATTCAAAATTATTAAGGCTAGTAAGACGGGCCCTCGACATGAGAAGAGATCCTCAATTTCAAATTAGCCATTTCTTGCTTATTTGTTTTTGGTAATAAAAAACGAATTATATGATAGCTAACTCTAAATGTTTTATATAAAATATCTAACATAACTTCAGTTGACTTTAAAGATACTTAAAGATATTGATCATATCTTTAAACGAATTACAGACGATAGTTTTTAATTGCACGCTGGGAGAGCCCGGAGATACACAAAGGAAAGATCGTTCAGGTCGAGTTATTATTGGCTCCCTTCAGCTGTTGCGGATCTTAGTACTATTGCGGTTGTTGGTTCTATTGTAGTTTTTTGCTCTGTTGTGATTGTTATCCATGTTGTAGTTGATCGCCTTGTTGTGTTTGTTTCCTTACCGCCAAACCTGCGAGTACTCAGGGCCAGTTGAACCGCGCCTTTTTACTCGTCCAGCGCCGCGACAAAATAACAAATGTTAAAAAGCGACAGAAATCGGATGGATTTGTAGCGGATGACGTGTGTGATGGAAATCAAATGAGCCAATTAAACTCGTGCGTGAATGTGACGTGATCTTACGCACTGACATCCACCTCAATAGAAACCAATCAGATATCAAATAGATCATCATGTGACAATAGAAGCTGGGTCTTAATATACCCTCGAAATCACAGCGTACTTGCAGTGGAAGTACAATGCCCGCACTTTAAGACACGTGTCATGACAAAAGACATACACCAGCAGGCATGTGGTGTATGGAAAAGGGTTCCGAAACAAAAAGAAAACTGTAACTTACTGTAAGCGACTACAAAGGGGCATTTCTCTCGGAGAATAGACTTAAATCCTATCAAAATCTGTCGTTTATCAATCACTGGCTAAGCAGTTACTGGCACCATCAGACCGTGATAAAGTGCTTCCATATTGCCGAGTGCTATATGGTCTGGCGGAGTCTCTGCTTCGAGCTTACTGAGCACTGAGCACTGACTAGACAACCAGATACCCGTAATTGTTGTAGAAATTGATGAGAAACTCATGGGTAAGTGACAATATGAGAGGGGAAGACTGTTGAGCCAGATAAGCACATAAAGGAGAAGCTCCTCCAGGTTCCCGTAGTTGTGCTCCTGAACAGGTACCGTCAAGTTGAAACCCGATGTTGTAGTTTCCTCTGCTGTTGTGGTTGTTGGTCATGTTGTAGTTTTTCGCTCTGTTGTGGTTGTTGCCCTTGTAGTTGATGGCCTTGTGGTGGTTGTTGGCTCTGCCATTGTGGTTGTTGGCTCTGCTGTTGTGGTTCTTAGTCATGTTGTGGTTGTTGGCCCTGTGGTGGTTGTCCATGTTGTAGTTAATGTCCTTGTTGATCCTGTTGTGGTTGTTGGCCCATTTATGGTTGTCTCAATTGTGGTTGGCTCTGCTATGGTTGATGCCTGTTTAAAGTTATAAAAGAAAAAAAAGCTCAAGCTCGCGATTCTCAAGCATTGGTTTCTCGTGAAGACTGAAGGATGGAGACTAAAAGGCCCACTTGTCTGTTGGTGACATTTATTCAAACAAATCCGTTAGTCAGAGAGCCCAGAGAGATTTAATCAACATGTCGAGTACAAAAGGTTTGACATTTGCCCTAAGGTGCCATGGATCCCTAAACGGCCATTCTTAAGTGAACACGTTGTGGGTTTGGCCACTTAAGAACGACCTAATTAATGCTAATTACCACTTTTAATCAGCATGTTGAGTACATCAGTGAAACCTTTACAGAATATACTTTATGGCATGCTGATATCATATTGGTAATTCTTAAGTGTTGGTTTTGTGGGAAAAGCCACTTAAGAAGAGGTCAAAGGTAGTGAACCGCCCATATTCCGTTTTCCGGTACCATTAAAATGACTGCTACTCCCTTACTATTTGATGTACTGGGTCAAGATTGGACGTCAAATGTAGATTTTAATGGGAGGGATAAGGATCACTTGTTTAATCATCCATTCTCGGGTACCGTTATTGCACAAAGAAGGTGAAAAAATGGGTACCCTTTTTACTCCCACTGGCTTTATCAGCATGGTTGAGTACATCCATGAAACCTACACCAAAATGTTCCTCTACCAACACATAATAAGAATCAATCATTCTTAAGTGTCAAAATTTTGGACAAATCCACTTAAGAACAACGGACAGGTCAAAGTGCACTCGACCCAACCAAAGGTTTCAATCATCATGTGGAGTACATCAATAAAACTTGCAGGATATGTTCCCCGAGACATCTTGACAGCATCCAAGCCTTTCTTATGTATCTCCATGCCGAATATGACAACTTAAGAGCACTTTAAATCGGGCATAGTAGTGACCCCCAATGGTATAGTATTATTTGTATGGGTAATAACCAGTAACGAAATGGAAATAAACAAATGTTATTTAATACAAAAAATATATGAAAACACACTATAATGGTACATAAAAACATAAAATGTAATAGATTTCATACTAAACTGTGGTACTAACAATGATTGACTGTACGCAGATAATCACTTAAAACTTGGATGGATTCATGGCAAAATATTAGTGCTCCATGTTAATTAATCAGTTATGCATATGAAATGTTTTTGCTGCTTATGTTCATGTATTAGTATGTTGGAAATGTTTTTGTTGCTCACATGTCTATTATAGTTTGACATGCCGTTTTTGTATTTTTTTTACTTATTATTACACGTTGGAAAAACTAAGGGTTAAATTGAGACGATGATGCATTTCTTCAACTGTCTATTTCTCATCGTCAGGACAGCTCATTTTCTTCGTCCGAGGATGCTGCCTCCATCTTTTCCTCATCTTCATCACCATCGTCATTCATTTCACCTTCGTCTGGGACAAGGGACTCGGGTAGCTGAGGGCCATCAAACCATACAGGTACATACGACCCGTCTTCGAACTCCCATCCATCGCTTTTCTTCGGGTGCTGAACAATCTCCTGTCTATTGGCCTTTGACCACATCTTGGCAACAAACGATGCTCTCTGAATGTGAGTGATAACTTCTGCCTCACAAGGTGGTATCAAACTTCCATCCAGGCCTTTCAGTTTTGCTTATGGGTTTTGGCCTGTAGCTTTCCTTCCCGAGTGACACTGATATTGCTGAAATATCAGTGAATCTGCGGCTATTCTTAGCAGCCACACAGGCATGTCAAATGATCCTATACAATTGGGGGTCACTACAATGCCCGATTTAAAGTGATCTGAAGTTGTCATATTCGGCATGGAGATACTTAAGAAAGGCTTGGATGCTGTCAAGGTGTCTCGGGGAACATATCCTGCAAGTTTTATTGATGTACTCCGCATGATGATTGAAACCTTTGGTTGGGTCAACGAGTGCACTTTGACCTGTTCGTCGTACTTAAGTGGATTTGTCCAAAATTTTGACACTTAAGAATGATTGATTCTTATTATGTGTTGGTAGAGGAACATTTTGGTGTAGGTTTCATGGATGTACTCAACCATGCTGATAAAACTTTAAAGCCAGTGGGAGTAAAAAGGGTACCCATTTTTTCACCTTTTTTGTGCAATAACGGTACCCGAGAATGGATGATTAAACAAGTGATCCTTATTCCTCCCATTAAAATCTACATTTGAAGTCCAATCTTGACCCAGTACTCCAAATAGTAAGGGAGTAGCAGTCATTTTAATGGTACCGGAAAACGGAATTTGGGCCGTTCACTACCTTTGACCTCTTCTTAAGTAGCTTTTCCCACAAAACCGACACTTAAGAATTACCAATATGATATCAGCATGCCATAAAGTATATTCTATAAAGGTTTCACTGATGTACTCAACATGCTGATTAAAA